TTAGTGTCCGGGCTGCCTCAACATTTTAAGTTAAGTGAACTTAAAAAGATAAGTTGAGATAAATTTGTGATTATTCCAAAGAAATACAATTTTCTAGTCAAATAAACTTGACATCAAGTCAGTTGTACTTAAATCTTTAAGTACAACAACAATTCAGTTCCTGTGAAATTATCTAGTTAAGGCAAAATGGTCCATCAATTTCTTTTCAGATTCAGATTCTTTATTGCACCACAAGGGGAAATTTGTGTTGCAGCAGGAGCACACAGGAGACAAGAAACACAAAAACAACATCACCATAAAACGAAAATGAATTTAAAAAAAAATCAGACAGCACAACAAAATCTAAAACCAAATAAACTTGCTCAAAACTACCAAACATTCAATTATTTTCAGGATTGTAACCCTTTAAATGCAATGTTATTAGAGTCTTGGATATGTGAAAGACTAGCAACAAAGTTGATTTGATTGCATTAGTCTTTTTTATGTAACCAATGAACACACAAAATCATTAATATTTGCTTTTGTATTTTGTTGATTTTTCTGCTTTCTTTTCTGCTCTTTTCTGGCTTTTGACGGTAGATGGAAAGAGGGAAAGAGCCGGGTGGGAGAGAGGGTGCTTCGGGAGAAATCTCCCCTGAAAAAATTAGACATTTTCATTTGAATGGTTGCTGTTCTGCCTAGGATGGATAGTGGGAGGTTCTTCCAGCAGGTGGAGATCGCCATTTATTCACAATCGGAGGTGACTTGTTATGGTTCACCCAGCTGAATGTGTGGACAGTTTTCTTGTTTCCCCACAACGATCATGTGTGAAATGAATAGCAGAAGAGCGAGTTTGTTTCTTATGCTGTAATCTGACTTAAAATATTACTGCAGATAACGGGTTTGAATACATTTGGAAGACTGAATCTCAGAAAAGATTTGGACCAAAGGAGAGTTTAATGAAAGATTTTTGGTGTCACAAATAGGTAGCACCAGTATCAAGAGCAAAATCTATCAAACTATAGAGGTGAATTGGTAAAAAATTAAATAAAAATTTAAGCAGCTTGAGAGCAAACGTGAGAACCGTCCCTTTAAGAGAAAGAGTTCTTTCTCAGCTTGCATGAGGAATTAAAAGCAAAATCTTCACTGCTCACTTCAACATCTTGTAAACTTTAGCCTATAACTGTTGTTGTGTCTCTCGACCTTCCTCACAGTTAGGTCAGCTCACCTGCAGCTGAAACCTCTAAATTTACACCACCTACCTACCTACACAGTGTACATCTTGACTCAGCTATCACAACAAGCAGATATTTATTGAACACATGCTTTCACGTTTGTAGCTCTACACTTGGATACCTACAGGCTGCAACATGCAAGGAGTCAGTTTAAAGGCAAGCAGGGACGGTGGGGAAATATAATAAAGGTAAATGTGGTTGGGTGTGAGGTTGCTAAGTGACGGTTACAGTTTTATTGTGTAATGCTTGCATACACATGCTGTGTGACGAACATGCATCAAGAAGTGTGGATGTGAATAACCCGTTTAAAGTCTTATAAACACACAGTGAAAAACAAAGTCTTATCAATTGACATTTTGCAACGAGCGATAATTTAGAGTCGCCAATTAACCCAACAAGCATGTCTATAGACTGTGGGAGGAAGCTGGAGAGAACCAATGCATGCACAGGAAGAACATGCAAACTCCACACAGAGAGGCTCCCGTCCAACAGGGAAACCTTCTCGCTGTGAGGCGTCAGCGCTAACCAACTGCACCAACCGTGCAGCCCATGCCAAAAGTGCAACAACACATTGCTCCCTATAATCCTCGTCACAGCCAGCGGTTCTCCGAGAAAGAGCCAACATAATGTTTAAAAGGATGCTGAGTGCCAACAGTGAAGCATAACAGAAACATAATGTGACAAATTAGCGCTCCCAGGAAGTCATAAGTTGAGGTTTTAGATGATACCGTTTGGAGGGGAAACACACAGCAGTGCTCTAAAGTAAAGTGAGCAGCATGACCCCGTCAACTCTCACATCCCCTCTGAACTTCGAGTGAACTTCTCTTCTGCTTCCTTCCTTCCCTCCTCGTGGCCCGATGCTTAGTCATTATTCTTTCAGAAACTATTGATCTCTTTTCCCTTGGTGCAGCTATGAATAAATCAGAAGAAAGTGACAGATAGGCTGCGGTGGCTGGCAGACACTGAAGGACTGAGGGGCGATGGGTGGGGGTGGGGAGGGGGGTTTCTGCTGACTTTCAAACCGCCTGTTTGAAACCCGCCTGAAAGTGTTTGGTCGCCATCAAAGCTGAAGCGTTTGTCTGGTGGGGCGAAACAAAAGATGTATATTTTTGTCACAATAGAGCGCTGCCTGTATCGGGATTTAGTCTTCTTAATATTCGTCTCTGAAAGGGAAAGAAAGAAGTCATTTCTTCTTCATGTAGAACAAGTCAATGTTGCTCCTCGTAAAAAAACATCAGATTTTCTCAAGCACACTGTCCTTATTGTCAAATGTTGTGTTTGCATTTCTGTTAACCAGAATAAGGAAACCAATAAAATAGACTTTTAAATCAGTGCCGCCGGTGGTTTTGTGAGCGTTTCCTGATTGTTGCAGCCTTTAACACCATAAAAGCATCCATAAAAGATCCAGTTGTATGTCATAAAACATGCATAAAAGATCACAAATCATAGATAAGCCACCATCGCATTATTCCTGGGATGTTCATGTCGTGTTACAAGATGTTGGCGATCAGTCTTTTCTTGTTCTGAGTCATGAGAAGTCGTGTTTTGACTTGTGATCCTAATCAACATTTGTCTGCAAGTCCACCACCTCGTAGGTGTACCATATGTTGTAAAGGATAAATGAGACATGCAGAGGAAATCAACTCAATCAGCGTTTGTGTATGGGTCTGGGCGTCTGGGTGTTTTTTGGCTCTGCTGTCAGGGTCAGCGGCGTATTTCATCATCCCTCCTTCCCTCCATCAGAGAGGATTTACGTTGGTGCTGAGTAAGCGCTTCCACAGCCACGCCCTGCAAAATCAAATGTCACGCCATCTCCTGGGGTATTAATCACACCAAGACACACACACACACACACACACACAAACATAAACTAGGGGAGTAAAGGTCACCTGATGTAAAGTTTGTTTTATGTAAATCAGTGCTTTCACTCACACTCCAGGTTCATGTGTGAAGTTTCGAGCATGTCGCGTCTTGCCCCCTAACAGCTGTTTGCCTTTACTTCCTCATTCCTTTGCGTGTGTGTGTGTGTGTGTGTGTGTGTGTGTGTGTGTGTGTAAGAGTTTAAGGGCTGTGGTAGTGTTTATGCTTTGATGCAGAGGTTTTTCAGTAGAGGAAAAGTGTTCCTGTCCTTGTCCTTCTTAAACTCCCTCTGTCCAGCAAAACATTGTTCAAACCACATTAACTGAGCAAAAGAATAGAAGATGTTAAAATCTGTCAGACTGCATTTAGGGTGGACTTTAATAAAAATGTATACAAGAGATTATGAGTCTGGGACTTGAATATTTCCCTCAGTAATCATAACAACATGTGAGCTCATGTGAGGAAGTTTCAGCTTGTTTTTTGATTTAGGTGCCCCCCTTTGGACAAAGTGTGACCTCTGCTGATTCTGTCCTGTACATGTGTAAGTAGTTTTTTTTCTAACTAAAGGCCCTGACACACCAAGCAGACATAAGAACTAGTGTCGACGGAGGCTGGCTGTGGAGTCTCCTCACGTCTTTGGCCAAAAAGTTGCACTAGAACACACCGCAAAGACTACAGCTGACTTTATGAACTTGTTAAAAAAAGAAGAGAGCAGGTGAACTCTTGTGTAAGGGCGTGTTATTCTGAGTGTCACATGTACCCCGTGGAGTCACCTACTGTAAACGCTCCACTAAATGTCTTTTCCTCCGCTTCTTCTTCTCATCAAACCTTGTTTTCTGACTGTCACTCTGTAAAAAAGTGTGATCAGCAGTGCAGTTCATTGAATTTTGTTCTAACTCATGTGACTTGTGTCGTAGCTGTGATGTAGATAAACGAGTCACAGACTGTCTGAAAACTATTAGGAACAAACTCAATGAACAAAATATCTGAGATTTATAAGGTTTAGATTTAACAGCAGAAAAACAACAAACAAGTTATGATCACTCTTAAGAAGAAAATAAACTCAGTAGACTGAATCGTGTTGCCTAAGCAGCAGTTTTAATGTTACTAAATGTTCCGCATCAGTGCCAGGAAGAAATGCTCGGGAACAGATATGACCTTTTTATGAAATACATCCACACATTTTGTATTGATGCCAACACGAGGCCAACATGATAAAGGTTAATAAGGCACGTCTTAAAACAGGACTCAGAATGTTTGAAGACCACTTGAGGAAACATGTTGTAATTCTGTTACAGTTTAAAAAGTTCTCACCTTAATCAGATGTAGTAACAGACATCAGAAGTGTTGACAGAGCTTTCAGTATCAGTGATGTTCAGTTCTACCTCTTTTTTCTTTTTAAAGTGCCGTTCATGATTAATCAGTAAAATAAAGGCGGACGATTTTAAATGTAAGACAGAAGATTGTTACCAACAGCTGGAACTAAAAGTCGGTTTCAGTCAACGGGACATGTGCGACACAACCGGTGACCTTCCGGTTCCTCGCTGCTTGTGTGGACGACCGGCCGGCTCACAGAGAAGTTATTTAACGTTTATTGAGCATTTATTACGTTTTTTTTTAATTGCCCCCTGAGGACAAATAAAGTTTTTTGAATTGAATTGAAATGAATTGAACAGCAGAAAACAGCAACAACTTTTTTTGTAACGGAAAAGTAATGTTTTGAGTTTTTGAGATTTGTCAATGAAGAGTCATTTTGATGGGAAAGAACATGATTTCTGGCAACAACACAAGAAAAGGTGTAATGATTTGATGCACCATGCATGGGATTTAATGCTATTCCTATTATGAAATTTCATGCTTCTGCTTGCACAATGACATCTTCAAAATAAAAACATTTACACACTGATGCTACAGTCTTTTTTTCAAGGCCAGTTATCCAGGAGGAGTCGAGGCTTGTCACTCAAAATCAGAAATGACATCACCAGAGTTTGCTCATGTACACAATGTCTTTACTATTCATTATTTAGCTGTTGAAATAATAATTTGGACCACAAAGGTGAAAGAACAAACTGCCATCCCTGAAGCCATGCTGCAAGTGCAGCTATATTCTATATGATACACTACGGAGACAGAACAAAGACAGAGACTAATGGACAGCAGGGATCAGAAAAAAGACGCCGAGACAAAAACTAATCTCATCCATCTGCAGCCGGTCAGATTTCACACAGGAAATGGGTTTCTCTGTCTCGTCTTTTCTCATTGATTCCTCTTTCTCTTCACCTTCTTTTCTTATTTCCATCCTTCACATGGATGAATGGATGGATGGGAAATCAAAACAAAAATTATCCCCCATTTCTTCTGAACGTATCTATTTCCTTTTATGTGGAAAAACACTCTGGAGAAGAGAAAAGGGGACAAAATGTTATTCTGTACATGAATTAAAATGTTCATCTTTGTTTGTTTCAATTGAAAACGTTCATAAACCAGACTGTTAATTCATGCACGACTGTCTGTGTATTCATGCAATTTGGGAATTTGAAACCATAGTTACCAAAAGAAAACAACAACTGCAGGTTATTTTCCAGTATTTTAATTGCTGTTGGAGAAAAAACTGCTTTTTCGACTACTCTGTGCAAGTTTTGAAGTTTTTTCCTGAAGGTAATGACACTTTGCATCCTCACCCTCGCAGATGTCATTGAGGTCATCGATTTCCTCTTGAACTCTGAGTAGGAGGAGGTCCTGCAAGATTTCCTGCTGCTGCTCCTCGGCCTCCACGCCAAGAAGCTCCAGGTGATGATCCTTCAATCTCAGCAACACACGGCCTGTGAGAATCAGTCAGGCAATAGTGCACAAAAGAAAAAAACAGAGTTTGAACACGGAAGCATATTCATCTTCTCGTCTAGCATTGGTGTGAATAAAGCAGTTTTACCTGATATCGCGTGTTTAATTATGGCTTTATGGAGCTTGTCCATGTAGGTTGGAAGCTGATCCTGCATCCACTCCAACACTTCCTCCACCGACCACAATGACACACGCTTTGACAGCCCCATCACCCAGATACTACATCAGCAAGGACCTGGAAAAGGCAAAAAAAAAAAAAAAAACAATAAATAATAGAAGGTGAAATCAGCCAACTCTGAAAAGTAAAAGTTCAGGAAAAAGTAGCCTGAGCGTCTTTTCGGTTCATTTGGCTCTCCTCCCAGCTGTATCCTCCTGGGCCGCTGTGCTATAGGGCACAAAAAAAACCCAGCTAAACTGTTGATGTGACCTTTTCAGCCAGGCCAGTCTAGTTATTGGGTTATAAATACAGGAATGTAATATCCTGTGTTAATTAAGGGGGGGGGGGGGGGGCTGCGTGATTGGCGGGGGGCAGTAACGAGGTCCCAGCGGAGTAATTGACATACAGAAAGTGAAGACCTTTACATCGGGGGCAAAGACATCGAGGAGACGAGCTGAGGAGGGGAAAAAAGGGAATCTCACTGTTGTCTATAACGTTTGTTTTATGCCTTAGGGCAGCGTTTTTAAAACTTGTACAGCTCCCACACTGGAGGGGAATAAAGTGACTGTATATATACAGCTGGTTTTATTGGCCCATTTTATTTATGTTTACTCTGCCCAGTCACAACCGGAGCAGGACTTATAAACAACAGTATCGACATTTACAAGCAAGAGGGAAAATTGGCTTTTTGCGACAACTCATAGAAGATGTAACGCCGTGTTTATAGGTGTTTCTAAATCTATATTGAAACACATTCAACAGATGAACATAAGTGCTTTTAAGTGGCTTTAATATCTCTTTCTCCCTCACTTTGCTGCAACTTCTCATATTTTTCTGCTCCTCTGCCAACTTCAGCCTGGAGTTTGACAGTTTTATGCAGCTCAAGGGAAGCAAAGTTGAAGTGTATGTGTGGGCAATTTCCTTGTTTTTTTTTCTTGGCAACTCTGTTCCACATAAACAGCTGGGAGGGTGCTCTGAGTGCAGACGTCCACCAAGGTCAGAAGTGGAGTTTGCATATCTTAAAGAAAACTATAAGGATGATGTCACAAAAATATGTCTGAAACAACAGCCTCTAGGCTTTGTGTCATTCTGCACTTTGGGGAGGTCTTAGGTGCCTTGCTCAAGCAGTGCTCAGGAAGTAAACAGGCACCTCTTCAGCTACCAGACCAACCGAGACCATCGACCCTACAGACTGAGCTTCTGCCGTCCCCCCCCAGGTGAGTCTGATCAGACATTTTGGCCCAAAAGTATTATCTACATGTAGTTACTATAAATCCTGGCTGTTGAGTCAGATCTGGTCCAGAATTTAAAGCAGCCTTTATTTTCTCATTTCTCATAAAAATCAGACCAGCAGTTTTTAAGTAATCTTGCTGGAAATTCACAAGCAATGGAACCAGGCGAAGCCCTTTACAGACTGCAGTTCCACATCAGCGGCCTAACGAAGTCCCGCCATCATTACGTCCCTGTACTTTCACATTGCACCCATGACGAGGTGACAGCAGAGTGTTGTTAAAGGTTGTGTTAAAAGTGGATCAGAAGAGTGAGAGGCATCGCGTGTAAACACAAAGCAGGCCTCCGACACAAACAAACAAACACACACACACAAACAAACACACACACAGCGCTGTTACATCCTGCCGGCTCCAAACTAACACACTGCCGCCGTCTCCTCCTCCTAACCCCCTCTTTAACTTCCTGTGGCTGATCAGGTGAAAAAACGATTTGGCTCCCCAACACATTTCAGTATCCCACCTTCAACTAGCAACCTGAGAGCGCCAATTTAAAACTGCCTTTTAAGCACACTGCTGATGCACGGACACAGAGAGAATACAAATGTGTTTCTGGTGATTTTCAACTTAATTCAACTGTGGGAGCTTTGAAAATTGTGCAACACGAACACAGCAGTGACGTCCCTTTGTCTCTTTTGCACATGAAAGAAATGAAGAAGACCAGCAGAGTTCCAACCTGATTGTTCCCATAAGATGAAAAGTACTAAACTGAACTGGTCCTGACACTGACTCACACATCCAGAGGTGTCATTCTACCATCTTGTGGAGCCTTGCAGAATAAGTCTGTTACCCTTCATATTTATTTATTTTAAAAAAGGTGTTAAGGCTCTATGGTCTGTAAGACTTTAATCTGCAGCTTTTTCTGATGCAATCCAGCCTTGTTGCATTCTTCCCACCATGTTGCAAGAGGTTTAGGCGGATGATTTATTTTCATAATTCAAACTTTTAACAGCTTGACTTGGTGTCCTCCTTCAACAAATGGTGAACAGATCTCTTTAAAACGTACTTATAAACTTCAGAGGTTGTGTAAGGAACTATCACGCATCCCTTTATCCTTACTTGGCTGTGCTGGTGTGTTCATAAAGTCATAGACTTGTTAAATGTGTTTCAAAATTAACGCGTTAAATCAGTTGTTATTAGTCATCTGTTCTTTGTTACAAAACGTGTGTATTTGTTCCTGTGACTGATATCTAGTTAAAATGTCAAAATGCTAAGTAGAATTTGGCGCGCTGTGTTGTGGACATCAGAGGAGGGTTAGGGTTAGAGACTAGTTGGTTTTTACAGTAAATCCATCAACAGCTGCTTTTCAAAAACACCTTTAACCCAAAACAAACGACAGGTATAACAAAACACATGAAGGTCTTTGTTGAGTTAGTAGTTATTATTTACCTCCGCCGTGCTCCGTTTGAGACTGATGAAGTATTAATGGAGACCCTTTGTCTGCACCATATGTCTGCACCTTTACCTGTTCAATCCATGTAAGTGTTACAGGCTCCGCCCACGAACGAGGCGCGCGCTCGACACATCCTTCTTCCGCACTCCCGCTGCACAGCTGTTTGTGACGCCTTCAGGTTCTGTCGGTAATAGACTTAGACTTAGACTTTCTTTATTGTCATTCAAACTTGTACTTTACAGTGCATTTCGATAAGAACGAAATTGTCGTTGCATTTGGCCCGTTGTAGTGCAGGATAAAAACAGCAGCATGTATTTACATATAAAAAATAAAAATAAGGTGCAGATATAAATAGATATAAAAAGAAAAACTATGAGTAAAAATACTATACAGATAAATATATTGCACGTTATATTGTTTTACAGTCCAGTGAGGTAGTCCTGTGTGGGGGTTTGAGGGGGAATGGAGGGATTATTGTTTCCTGTTCAAAAGTCTTATGGCCTGTGGGAAGAAGCTGTTACAGAACCTGGAAGTTCTGCTTCGGAGGCTGCGGAACCTCTTTCCAGAGTCCAGCAGCGAAAACAGTCCTTGGTGGGGGTGGGAGGTGTCTCTGCTGATTTTCTGAGCCCTGGTCAGACAGCGGATCTTTGCGATCTCCTGGATGGGAGGAAGTGGAGTCTTAATGATCAAGGCAAGTTTATTTATGTCGCACATTTCAACAACAAACCAATTCAAAGCGTTCACACAAGACATCAAAAAGCATCATGACAGAGGAAAGAAAAGAAACATTGAAATAGAAAATAAAAAAATCACTGAACTTATTAAATCTGAAAATATGTTGAAATAAAAATAATTCAAATTAAATTACTTGAAATAAATAAAGAGTTCAAAGTTACGGTGCAGATTTAAAGTTTAAAATCTTATTTAAAATTGTTTAATGAAAGGCAGCTGTAAAATCAGAAGATACGCAACCCAATAAGATCACACTAAAATGGCCTGTTGTAATATCATGACATGTAGGAATAATGGACCTTCGAGTTGTGTTTTTACTGGATCCTAGGTCTGTAAGAAGCCATGATAACTTAAATGAGATGTTCTTATGTAAAGAACTGGAAAAAAGTCTTCTCAGATTCTAAACTGAAGTAAAAAGTTTTTTTTTAAATTGTCTCCTGAGCCACTGGACCGAAAGTAGCTGTGAGTTTGATCTAAGAGATTTTCATCCCTGTTAGTTTGTAATTATTTCAATAGGCCTACACATAAATGTCTTTGAGTACTTTCAGCATATAGACTTTGTATCGCTGTCATGTTTAAAGGGCAAAAAATCGAGTTTGACAGGACAGCTCATGGGGAAACTTTCTGGAGACATGGGCACGTTTATTGTAAAAAATGGTGTCACTTAAAAAATAGGAAACGAATCAAATGACAAATAGCCTGCTAATGTTTAATAATAGGATAGTAATATTCAATTGAATTGTTAGATTAAGAAATGTTTGAGATATTGACCTGTTCTCAACTTTTTAACTGCAGTGATGAGTTTACCAGGAGTTCTTGAAGGCATCACTGATTATTAGATGTTTAAGTAAAGACTTTTTCCACGCTTAGTTCAGTGAATATTGTTCTATATGAATCCAACTCAAGTCTGCTTTTACCTTTCTCTCTATTTAAATGTATCTCGGTAACTATAAAAATAAAATAAAAAAACATCCAGTCCAGTAGTGTACCCTCTTTGTCCAACAGAGGGCGCCCACGTTTATCAGATGGAGCCCCCCCCCCCCTTTTTTTTTTTTTCCTTCTCTTCGTCTTGAACACCAGCTGCTGCTCAAACTTCCAGCTGGAGTTGTGTGATGGTCACATGACGATGTTGTGGGTATATTACTACAAATGTGTGAGCGTGTTCTCCTGCACAGAGCTGCTGACTGCCTCTGCATCCTCAGCACTCAGGGAACAAAACCTGCGCATGGTGCAGCACTTCGACCTGCCTTACACTGTTTTTCATTCTTGCAGGCTTTGACTGACACTCTGACAGCTGACTGACTGGAGTGGAGTTACAGCGTCACGACGCAAGCTTTTTTTTTTTTTTTTTTTTTTGAGGGGAATTATGAGAAACGCGGAGCTGTGATTTTACATCAGATTGACAGCTGACAAAGGTGAGAGACGAAGAATTCTTTTTTTTTTTTTTCATTTTTGTCCCCAATGTGGCGTCAAGAACCTTAACAAGGGCTGGCTGATTGTTAAAAACGTGTGTTGTAAAAGGCTTTGTGCACCTGTCTAAACACCGGCTGACTTTATGACACCTGTCATTAAATTTTAAAGAGACATTTTTGCACAATATATCGACCTACCAGAGCCTTTGAATTCCTAAAGTTGCATCAATGTAAGCCTACTTTAGGAACGTATCAGCTTTTTTTTTGCACAATGATAAGGTAGAAAAGGAATTTGCAAAAGCTCATCAGTGATAAAAGCTCCTTTGTGCTGAGTGTTAACATGTCAATAACTATTTGTTCACCTAAAAAAATCAGATTTAATGATGTGTTGTTCACTGACTTTTTTAGGGGGGCAATCAGTTTGACATATGTTGAATATGAGTTTGAATGACAGCTGTTAGAAAGGCTGATTTTCTGCAGGCTTTTCTTTTTTTCTAATCATGATCCTTCATTACAGCAGGTCAGGAAATGCACTATCAATGGAACAATGTGTAGAAACATGTTGCTTTGTGTTTCAGCGGCCATGGGTGAAGTATCTCTGCCTTTTTTAATTAACCAGGAGAAAATGGGTTAATGTTGCACTCGGATGGTTGAGCAATGATAATGTGGGAGGTTTGCATTATGTAGCCTATGCTTGCAATGGCCTCTAATTAATGACATGATTAATCCAAGCAGGGAAATATAGACATCATACTCATTAAAAGTGAGTAAACTGCAGACATGTTCTATCTGTTTGTAAAACCATTTAAGACGTATTAAACTCACTGCTCATGTATTTTCAGTACTGTGAGCAGAGACCACACGCGCTGCCGACCTCTGACCTCACACACAATCGGATGCTCGGTTGGAGGCAAATCTCGCGAGGCGACGACGCATGACAAGATAATTATTTCCTCTCGTGCTAAGTGAATCTCCGCTCTGTCTCCCTCACTCTTCAGCAGACTGTCACTCTCTGCCTCTCTGAGCATATTGATGGAGGTAACTCAACCTGAACCTGTTTGGAGACGCTGTCGGGACAGAAATAGTAAATCTTCAGTAGTGCACTGTAGCACAACTTTTAGGTTTTTGCAAGTGTTCCCAAAAGACCTGAAAGTACTTGTTCACACTTATCCTACGGTTATTCTTTCTGTGGCTTCTTGTCACACAAACAAGATATAGGCAACATTTCCAAACTTCAACCCGCTCATGTTTTGAGTCAAGTGGTTCACAACCTTTTTGAGTCTTGTGACCTCTCGTGACAAAACAAGTCGCGTCTGGTTGAGGCTCCTCTGTCACGATTCAGATGTCTCTTTGAGTTGTCAGCAGTTCCACCAAAAGAGACGTTTCCCTCTTAACCTCTCGCCCAGTTTCATTTGAAATAACTGTTGAGGGGTCAAACAGGGAAATGAGCCAATACATCACACAAGAGCAAACAGTCAACGGATCAATCAGTCTGACAACTTTATCTTTCTCCTGTTCTGATACTTTTTCAATCACGGATCATTTCAGGTATAAGACATGGAAGTGGGAGGAACTTTAGACCGAACTTTTTTACTTCAGATGAAGTGATATACCAAGTAGATGTTGAAAAACATACGCTACCTGTTGGACGCTACCATGGATTGGTAAAATTGTCTTTGTGCTATTTATTTAAGGATACGGTAGTCTGTTATATATTGGTGTTTTGGGTTATTGATTATTATATCATTTATTAGGATTGTGTTGAGAGAGGGGATGTCGGGTCACATGGGTATGGGCAGAGATGTGTTGATTTAACTTACCTGTTCACTTTTTGTTCTCAGTGGAGGAGAGGGGGTGAGCTGGGTTGCCGTATTTTTTGTTGACCGCTATTGTTTCTAGTTCACTGTGATTATGAGTTAATGCACGTTATTATAAGTTAAGTTGATTATCTTTTTTTACGTTAATAAAAAAGTCAAACTTATTTTTGCGTATCACAGCATTCTTTTGAAAGCGCGTCGGACAAATACATCAGGCCCAACCTCAGCCTCTCAGCGGCTTCATATTCAGGAACGCCGCTACTCTACCTTTGCCAATGAGTACCTGTTAACCCATTGTTTCTGCTTCGGTCCAACATACTAGCTTTTGAACCACGCAAAGACAACCTGCTGCGTCATGAACGTAAATGTTCACAACGCATGTTACTGGAGGATTCCTCTGGAGGGAGCTCGACATAAATCAAACACCGTAACACACAGAAGTAGAGATCAGTGCGGGTAGTAGTTGCGGACGTTATCTGTTAGCTTTTCTTCAAAACTTTCGGCTGTTGTTGTAGCGGCTCTCTGGTGTCTCCGATGTTGTCATCACCAACACTCCCAACCATCGCATTCGCAGGATACACAAGGCTGATGTCATGCTTATGCGTTGTTAAAATCAAGTATACTCTGTAATGTTAATGCAAAATAAACTGTATAAATAAGCTATCCTGACCTCACCCATTGGTTTCTTGGCTGCGTAAAACCTCTTATTTAGTCTAGTTTAAAAGTTTGTGACATATAAAATTCTGTATACTAAAGGCTTGTAGCAGGTTGTGAACATTTTTATTTCTTCAGTAGGAATCAGCATTTTGATATTCGGCCCTATGGGAATTTCTTCGGCTTTTGCAGCCAGCCTCATGTGGACGCTTGATGAACTGCAGTTTTTTGCACTTCAACATTGACTGCATTTTTTCATCACCTGAGGTTGCTGCTTGATTAAAAAAAAAACACATCGATTTATAGTTTGGGAAGTGAAACAAGCTGTAGGTTTATCACAAACATTTTTCCCCTCCTAAAGTTGATACGATAAAAATGTTAACAAATTGTTGCCAGACCAGAGGTATCGGCATTTGTCGAATTGTGTTGGAATATGGGATAGTGGTTATAGTAGTAGTAGTAGTATAGTAGTGGTGTAGTAAGTGTAGTTTTGGTGCTTTATGTCCTGTTAAAACTTTTATTCTTGTATGAACATGGATGAAGTTGTCCTTCACTGAGTGAAAACATGCTTTTATTTCTTAACAGCAGAGGTCGAGGATGTGCAAGTGGACAGAATAACATCAACACCTGTCACTGTGTTAGCGTGATGTGAGAGCACTCAGCGTTTTGTGCAGCCTTGCTTCCTCTTTCCTTGCTGTCGTGCTGCAGCTTGAACTGTTTGCCGTGACTTGATGGAGATTTCCAAGAAGGAAAGCCTCCAAGTCGTTTGAGGGATGAGGGCAGTGAAAATCCACTTCCTGTTAGATTTTAGTCACATTAAGGCCGGATTTAATCAAGACTCCCTCAGGCCTCCTCAGCTGAACCCGTGGCTCTTGATATTGTGCGTTAAAGGCTCCTTCGGTGTTTAACTAGATTCATACCTGGATGAATCATCGAAGAAGAAGTACAGTTTGTCTAAAAGTAATAACTTGGGAGGGTTATAACGTGATTGCTTTGGCTTGGATGCTATGTTTGCTTTGGTTTGTGCCGTTTGGTACCTTTAGTCAGTTTGGCTGCTCCTGGAGAATTCTCTAAAATGAACAGGTGTTTTGGGTGCTTTGTCCGCTCAAATCTGACTCTGCATGGTCACAAGCCTGGGAACCAAATTGATTTGCAAGCTCATGTTTTATTTTCTCTGGCAGATGAGTCTGGCCCTCTACTGCTCAGAAAGACTTACACTGACCTTTCCTTCAGTATATATGGTCGATATGATACCATACGACACATGAAAATGGCCTCTAATGCTGCATACATTATAAGCCTCCTCAGTAGTATAGAAAAAAAACAATGGGTGGGGAGGGGGCCGCGCTGTTGAAGAATTGAAGAACCGAGATGGCCGCAGCAAATGTGGGATTTGTTGTGTCTATCAAAGCAGTTAATGTTGGGTCAGAAAAATGTCGAAATATTGGCTGCTGTTTATTTTCATGCCGAACATCTGTGTGTTACGTTGAACTAGGTGCCGTATTAGGTGGACGCTTGAGCTAGCTATCTAGCTTAGCAGCCTATTGCTACATCACTCGATAGGGGAATGTTGGTTTGAGTCCTTGGAAATCAAATACGAACTGAAAGGTACAAAACCAGAGGCATGCTGCATGTGGACAGTACCAGTCCCCACAACTCTTTTGGTTGTGGCAGATTGCTAATCCAACAAGGAGTCTGGTTCTGCTTGAGGTTTCTGCCTGCTGAGAAGGAAGAGCGCCAAGTGCTCACTCATTGGTGGAATAACGTTTGGTCTAATAATTAAGAATATTTTGCCTTGCTCTTGGCCAGACGTGCAACCCTGCTGAAATGGAAGGGTGCTGCCCTGCCCACGCTTTGACCAGTGGCGTCAGGATGTAATGTCCTGTCTTAAACTCGAGATGTTACGTTTTTCTGTCAGAAGCTTGAAGAGGAAATTCTATGAGACATGGGAACCTACTTTCATAACAGTCAAACTAAATCATCATGAGATGAGCTTTGATCCGGCCCTTGGCATAAAAAGTAAGATCTGACTGTGTGGTGCGCTGCAAGCTAACTCTTAGATATTACACGCCTTAATTTTTTCAGGACAGCTGGGGATGTGAGGGTGGGATGTGAGGGTGGGATGTGAGGGTGGGAAGAGCTATTGCATTTTATCAGGTATTACTGTCACTGCCACAGAGACTTGTTCTGCACATTACTATACCATTTGTGGCAATGTGGAATATTACTGCCCAACCCTGGTGTTTTCTATGTTTTATTCTTCTTCTTTTTTGTATTTTGTGTTTATATGATGAAAACTCAAAATAATAATATTTGAAATTTAAAAAAGTAATAATATTTGACCTGAATTTATGTAAGATATCAAGAGATGACTTGAGATTTGGAGCTTTATAATGAAAGTGTTCAATGGAGGGATAAGGTTTGCTTATTCAGTTTGTTTTAGTTTTAAGGTGTCTTTTATCTGCTCCTCTGCCCAGTTGCTGGAGGCCACGAGTTATACAGTTCAAGACTAGAAAAAGCCTGAGTCTTTGCTTTCCCACCCTCCTCTGTTGGCACAGACTATCAGAGCCCAGCTGAGTGTGTGATAAACTGTTATTTCCCTCCAAACTCAGTGTGATTACAAGATAACTCACCTCGTGCTTTCACACAAACACACACTCTGTAGCCACACAAACACTCATGTTATTGGGTACTGGGAGTTCAGTGGGATCTCCTAGCAGCCCGAATGGTTCCTGCCTAACTTCAGTCTAAATGTCAACCTAACCCCTCCGTCCCCTCCGTAATGAGAAAGTCCAGACTGAGCGCTTTTTAACGACTTCGTCCAACACGCACAGATCATGCCGCCGGGGGCTTGTGGGAGTTCAACACCCAGCGGCTTCTGAGTGCAGCAGCAGATTTAATTTGATCCCTCGGAGATGTCTGTGTCCGACACAACCTCTGTGTCAGGAGTCCCATCTGTTTGTTCTGCGTCGGCCATATTTGGTTTACATCATGTGTAGCGTGGGAAACTCTACCCAAACTAGAAGAGCAAATGTGCTCAGCTCTGAGTAAACAGTCCGCCGTAGTCCTGCGAAGTATTGTGACTAGACGAAAATTCAATCTGCTGAAAAACCCCAATGATGATCCAGTAACTGATGGTGATTCTTGCCTGTTAAAAATTCTTTAACAAAAAGTGTGAAATTAATATGAAATTGATTTATGCCGTCATACATTTTGCACCAGTAGCTCGTCATGTTTGCACCTGTGGGATGACAGTTTAAATCATTTGTTCAATATGGATTCACTTCTTCTAAAGAGTGGCTTCAGAGACAAAACCCTGTCTCCAAGGAAATGTTTAACTCAGATTAATGTGCCTATTTTTCTCTCTGACATATTGGAAAGCTGCCATAACCGTATCTGTCTCAGCACCCCTTCATTTTTCACCTTGGCCTCATGAAGTATTCCCATGTTGTTGAGTGTTTAAGATACATACTTCACAGCTGCTGAAGATATAGTCACAGTTCTGGAGCTGGGTTACTTGTACGCTTTTTTATGAGCCACTTGTTAGAAGATTTGATGGACACATTCTCATGGAGGCACCTGAAAGGAATGGGACGGGATATATTTGCATACTCACACCCTTGTTTAGATTTGGAAGCTTGACCCATGCCACGTCTAAATTGGGTGTAACATGTACTGAAATAAAGGGATGAAATAGTGAAAGCCTTTATTTCACTACAATAAGCCACTAAAAATGGGTTGGTATTTGTTCCTTTCAAAAACTGCCCTATAGGAGTTCCACTTTGTCTGAATCAGAAATATGCACTTTAATATTTGTTGAATATACTAAAGGGTGGCCAAGCAGCCACTTCCAAACACGCTCCTTCTTGCCTAGCTGACAGTTTTTAGTCACATACATGAGGTGATGCTAAAAGGCAGACCGACAGATAAAATTTGGCAAAACATGACCCCTCACCCAGAGGATATAAATCACATTAGACATTAGAAACAGCTACAATCCTCCCTCTCCTCAATAGTTTCCTCCTGTCTGTTTAGCATTGAATAACATTTTGTGTGTGTGTGTGTGTATCGTGCTTGAAAAGACAGAGGCTCAAGTTCAGCTCTCGTGACAGGTTCAGCTGTTTCTTCACATTACGGGGCATCACTGGCAACACACACACAAACACATAGTTTTGATCTTCTAGATCCATGACGACTCTCACTGATGAGTGCGTGTTATAAACGAAAATCTGGACCCGATCCCTCTGGCTTACCCAATCTTAAATTTGGGTTGTCTCGCCTGGATTCTAATTTTTTTGACTTGCAACGTTTTCCTTTTCTAGTTTCTCCACTTTTTACATTTTCAGTCAGTGATCCCTCTTGAGATGTGTAAAACAAAAATGTTGGCTCAGAACAACCTCCAACATGAGGAGTGGACCAAAACCAAGCTAGGAAATAGTTGTTTTCTTATCTTCTGTACTTAATGTCTCATTCAGAATGAGGTTTGCATTTGTTAATGAAGCATGGCAGTGTTCATTTCAGACGATGACACTGTATTTGTGTTTTCTCTCCAGTGAGGAGGACATGGAGAACAAGGCCATGTATCTGAGCACATATGAGGAGAGAGAGAACGGCTCCTTGTATGAAGACCCCTACGAGGGACGCAACCTGTCCAAACTCAACCTGTGTGACGAAGGTAAGGACGAGGGTCCAGACTTGAACTGTTTTATAGTAGGAATCTCTAAATACAGAGGTGGAGGTTGAAGGTGAATGAATGTCCACTTGCACTCAAAGTACAGATCCTGTCCAGTGTCCTCATGTCCTGGTGAACTGAGCACATGATAGGTGATGTTCTCTCATGACAGAGAGCTTGAGGTAACTTTTAAAAAAATAAAAGAATAAGGTGAGAAAAAAGGAGACAAACGACCTAATAATGTGGACCTGTATCCATTGACAGCTCTTTCCGTGCTGACAGCGCCTAGGACCTCAGTTTAAGAGCGTTTCTCGTCGGTGCTTATTGTTGCTAGGTTACAAAATTGAACTTGTGCTTCCCTCAGTAGTGGCGCAAGTTCTGTTTTATTTCAATAAAATATCACCAAGAATACATGAAAAATAATGTGAATGAATCTGTCCTGACATTAGCAGCAATTCTACATCTGACAAAAACAAGTCAGATTAGTTATCAGAAGTCCCGTCCCTTCTTGATTTTAATCAGTCAGTGAGGGAGAAGGGACATCGACGAGCGCGGCTGTTCCCAAAAAATGAACTTTTGTCACCTAACTGCACTCTGAGCGCAGAGACCAAAAACAGCTGATGCTTCAACGCCGAACTGCTTTGGTTTTTTTATTAATAATAAACGCTGAGAGTGCAAAGTGGACACAGGCCCTTATACACCGGAGTAAGTACAAAAAATAAGGACTACAAATTGTGACCTTGTTGCATCGCAGCAGAAAAAGAATCCCTTCAAGGTTTGATTGATTTTTGAATAATTTGAAACGATTGAAAAGGAGTATCCGACTAATATGTCAAGAAATTGAGCCGAAGGAGAAGAAATGGAAAGAAAGGGGATTTCCACAGAATCATTAATTCATATAAACAAAGACGCCCACACACACACACTAATAACCAACACAGACTCACAGAGTTGGCGAGCACACACACACAAGTAGAGGCAATGCTGTCACCGCTTGGCTTTCACGCGCCTCTCGCTATGGTCATCTATGAAAGCCAGGAATGTCCAGGAGCAACATCTGTTCAAGTATGTGTTCCTCTGTGTGTGTACGTGTGTGTGTGTGTGTGTGTGTGTGTGTGTGTGTGTGTGTGTATGTGTGTGAATACAGGTGCAGCTGCAATGAATCCAGAGTTGACCCTTTGGTGTTCTCAGGTTTCGATCGAGAGCTCTGCGAGCTCGGTGGGAAAGTATTAACTGGAGAATTTGTTGACATTTTAATGGAAAGTGGACAATGGACGCACACATCAGAACGACCGGTCCACGTCCAACTTTTCTAATCCGGGAACATTTTCACACCTCGTTCAATTAGCAGAGAATATTCCCCCGAACATGGCACCGTTTTATTTCTTCAGGGTGCAGTAGAAGAGAGCAAAACAAAGCTCTCAGGAAAACGTTTAGAAGAGTGTGATCCAAACGTGATTCACACAGTCAGATCCTGCGTTTATAATGAGTTAACACACTATGAATTGTGGGTAAAGAACAGGAAGGGAAAAAACAAGGTTTATGAGGTAAAATGTTGTAAATTCTGGCAGTAATGTTGCAATTCTTTTTTTATCAAACCTCTCCGTCCAAATCTCGCCTCATTTTAACAGCACATTACAATTAATTTGACAATGACATGTTAATGTTTAAATACACACACCTAGCTTCACACGTTTAAAGCATATGTGTTTGTTTGGGAAAGCAGCTTTCCTCACAGTGTCAACATGACCTGTGAATTACAGCCGGTGCTGGTTTTCTTTATAGAATCTGAAGGAAAAAGGAACAATGCCCTATACGTGTTAATCACGCACTTTATCAAAACCAGCCAAATGCACAGGCAGTGCCAGAAACTGACTCATTATGGCAATAAACAGACTTAGAATATGTGCTATGTGGGGTATTTTAACAAGAGGAGGAACAGATGATTCATGTTTATGTAAGTCCCAAACTTTGAATCACTGACCTCACTGTCTCCGTAAAGATTGTATGAAATGTTCCCAACATAAAGCTACACATATTACAAGAATCCTGTTTGCTTTTTTGTATTTATTAACAGCATTAATAAACAAGACACAAAGTTTTTTTAAAGCACAATTTAATATTACACTCAGAAAACATTGAGACTGAAGACAAAGTTTGTTTTTTGTGGACAGAGAAAAATGTATTAGTTCTGCAAAAATGGCAAATATTTCTCCAAGCATCTTAAAGTGCTCATTTGTATCTGTTTTATTGTTGTACAACAGATACTTCTAGATCTAGACCTCTTAAAGGCTTTATATGTGATTTTTCACACTCAAATGTAATATAAATGAAGTCTATCCTCTGAAAATAACTCTGTGAGTCATGACTGTCTACAATGGGTGTAACACCCGAGTCCCACTGTCTGTGATGTTTTCAGAGTTTTCAGAGTCCTATCTTTGTTATAGTTGGGTCGATTATTGAACATGGAAAACATGTTGTTTTCACTTTCTCTCCAAAAATAAGAAGAGGAGATGAACGCTGCTTTCATGTCGGTGCATGGAGCCTGGAGGTAGAACTAGAGGCGATTAGCCTAGCTTTGCAAAAACACACATCCTGTCTGTTTCAAGTCGAAAACATGTCGTGCTTATAACGACTCGGTGTTTGTTTAATTCAAGTAAACACTGTTATATGAGCTTTGTCGTTACAGAGGAAGTTTTGATCCGTTTCTTGGCGAAAATGTCCCCGCGCCATGTGATTATGCTAAGCTAATGAGCTCCATGTTTAAGCTCTGCACTTAAGGAGTTATCATGAAAGAACTTGAATGAATCTTCTCAATGAATCCAACACTTGGAGCGCTATCAAATATAAAATAATGAACTGTTTAAATCTGAAACACTTTGCATGTGTGTGTTGGCCTAAGACAGAGGAGACAGAGTTAAGATGTGATAATTTCCCACTTAAGCTCCAGCCAGTTGATTTTATTGCCCGTATTTTCTTTACGAGCGGTTTTGCATGATGTTTCCTTGTTGGGGTCTTGGATAATACGTGTGTCTTTTGTTGAGTGCATTATTAGTTTCACTGTGTCTGACCAGCTCGGTGTTAATATTCCTATACATTCCTTCTATGTGACACACATCTGAGCCAGCTGTGTTTGTCTTACACTGGACAAGTGTGTGTGTGTTCCTCTTCATAAAGGAGAAGTGTGTATGCCTGTGTGTGTACATATGTGTGTGTATTAGCAGCAACCCACCAGTCCTCACTGACAGATTGTCACGGTCAAAATGAAAGCATGATGTGTGGAGGCCACGCTGCAGAATCATTGTTTATGTTTCAGTGTCAGGCCGAAGCCGACGTCATGACTGTTCACAGGAGGATAGAGTCTCATTATAACCTAATAATGTCCCAGTGGGTACAGTATCCATCATAATGTTCATGTCATATGACCACAGGGATTGTACTCCTTTCTCTGGATTTTAAACTGAAGGCTACATTTTGGTCTTCTGTCGTCTTTGGTCATTTTAAAGCTAACATTTTATCTTCTTGAGTCGTAATCTTCTTGGGGCGGCAGTAGCTCAGTCTGTAAGGACTTGGGTTGGGAACCAGAGGGTCGCCGGCTCAATTCCCGGTGTGGACCAAGTCTGGTATGGTAGCTTGAGGAGTGCCAGGTAAATGGTAAATGGACTTGAGCTTATAAACACTGCATGTCACACCCACCCTTTCACACACTGATGGTAGTGATCACTACATAGTAGAAGTAACTAATCCATTCATACACCACCACTGAAGCAGCAGGAGCAATTCAGGGTTAAGTGTCTTGCCCAAGGACACAACAGACATGTTGCTCAGCTGGGGATCAAACCCTCAACCTTCAGGTTGAGAGGCAACAACTCTACCAACTGAGCCACAGGCACAGGTCACTTGTTCACTGCTGGTTTGCCCTGGAGCAAGGCACCATATCCCCCCTCCACCAGCTCAGGAGTGTTCTCTGTGGGTAGCATCTTCACTCTGACATCCCTCCATATGTGTGTGTTTGTAGCATGTCCTAATACCAGAGTGAAAAATGGAATATCCACTTTTAATAAAGTACTTTTACTGATTTCTAGATTTGGAAAACATGGATACAGTTGAAAACTTTGCTTTTGGGTCTGTCTCCACTTGGGCTGTAGACAACCCAAGAAAAACTTGGTTGACTCATGTTACACCAACTCATCAACCAATCGATTGATTGTTGGTGGAAAAAAAGCGTATCTCTAGATCAACCTGCTCAGTGACAGTGTTACAGTGCACCCTGGCTGGAATCTAAATAACATTCAAAGTTAACATAACAAGCTGTCAGCATAATACATTATTTTTACCTCAATATGTTGTTCTGAAAGCTGACCAGCGTGCGTATGCCTATATACAGTATGATTTACAAATACACAACTAGATGAAATATTTGGAATTTTATACAAAACAAAGAGTGTGAGAAACTGAGATGACTGATGTTGCATGTGACTCTAAAACATCATCCATAAATCTCTTTATCCTCTTGACCTGAAGGAAATGTTCCCCCCACATCAGCTGTTTAATCCCTGACTCCTGCCGAGCTATCAGACACACACACACACACACACACACACACACACACACACACACACACACACAGAGAAACTTACTATTATTCATGTCACCACTTAACACTCCTCTCAGGGTCAAACAGTTGTTCAAGAATTATTCTCTATAAAACTGACACAGTTTGTAAATGATGGAAGGGGTTTCTTTCCATGTGTGTGTCTGTGTAGGTGTGTGTGTGTGTGTGTGTGTGTGTGTGTGTGTGTGTGTGTGTAGGTGTGTGTATGTATTTTTCCATCTTCCCTTGTTACACTTATGTTAAAATTAATGACTTCTATATTGTTTTTGAGCAATGTATTTGGACTGAATTCCAGTCTGCTGCTTGCCCATTTGTAATGAAACTGTGTATTCTATCAGGTAAATAACATGATTGTGTGTTTGTGGTCATTAAGGGTTGGATTTACGATCTCAGGTCGTGTTTATAAGGAATGTCTTTGTATCAATAAATGTCAGTCTTTATAGCCTTATAAATCCTTAGATTTATTTGTTTAACTTAAAGCACCAGCCTTTGCTAACATAGACTCCAAATGTTGAAAACAAGACTTCTGCTGTTTTCAAACGCTGTGACCTCCCTTTGACCTTCAGCTATGAGCAAGCTCACGGGGGAAAATGGTCAAACAAATCTTCAAACATTCAAAAGCACCATGATAACTCTAAAAGACAAATTCATGTCAATGCTTAAGTCGTAAGACAACATTCAACATGCTAAATAATACATGTGTCAGACTCATGTTGTCTTTAATGACATTTTAAGTCTCGTCTGGCTCCTCAGGTTCTGCCAGGCGTCGCAGGAAGCAGGAACAGTGCTGCAGTCATCTCAACTCCCTCTCAGCCATCAAGTACGCCATCGTCTCCCTCTACATCCTGGTTCTTCTCACCATCTTCGGACTCTGCCTGGCAGGTAGGTTGTGCGTGTGTGCACTTCATGATGTTGTTATTTCTGGCACATTGAGTACAAACATGATGACTTTGTCTTCTTTTTGCTACTCACCTTTTAGGATCGTTAAATGCTTTTGTGAAATTAAAGTACAAGAATGTGTTGTTTTACCACTTAGGGGTACTTTCAGGTACCCAAAAGGGCGGCTGTGACTCAGTGGTAAAGTCGTCATCTCTTAAACAGAAGGTCGAGGGTTCGATCCCCAGTTCCTGCAGCCACATGTCCGATGTGTTCTTGGGCAAGACACTTAACCCCAAAAAGCTCTTGCTGCTCAGCGGCAGCATATAATAATTGGATAAGTTAATAGCGATGGTCACTTTACAGTGAATGGGTTTGAATTGTTAGTTGTGACCTGCGGTGTAAAATGGGACATTGAGTAGTCAGAAGAAAAGAGCTATACAAGCTCAAGTCCATTTATACTTCATTGTATAAAAGATGTGACGGTCCATGCAAACCACACGTAGACTCTAAACATTAATGGACAAAGCCTGAGTGATGTAATCCATCTTTTTGTTGAGGTTGCTGCTTTGAACCACCTTGTTTTTTTACGATTTTCTACCCATAATCCCCTGCAAGCATGTCTGAATTTAAATATTTTGCAACAGATGAATGAGCCTAGGGTCTAGAGAAAGGCCCATTGGACAAAGACGTACTCCTAACTGTAAACAAACGGCATGCAAAGTGCATGTTTTGTAGAGGCAGCTGCAGTGAACTGTGGTATGAAGCAGCAAAGGGTTTTGTTGTAAACAGAGTTTGAAGAAACAGCGTAAAATAAGCTTCAACTGTCTTTCAGCTGATCTGCATGACTTCCCTCCTATCCTTCATTGCTCGTTTTTTTCAGCCTTATTCAAAGAAAAAATAAACATGTAACCAAAGATACTGTACAGAGTTAGAACATGTAATGTAGTTTTCAGCACCGTACACACTGACATAAAGAGCACATTGTTCGTCCATTGTTCTCAGAGCGCCGTTATGTAGATGACATCACCTTCCCTCAAGGTTGAATTGTAATGAAGGACACACACGTGCACCACAAGACCCACTTAGTTAGTCTGAAGTAACACTCTGGGATGTGGTCTGAAACCTGACCCCCCCTTTTAAACTGTCTGTTCTGGTTTAGGTTAAAGAACACACACACACACACACATAATTAAGAATACACTATATATTCAAGTATACCCTAAACTCCAGTAATGTAAAGTTCTGCTGGTGATTTTATGGACTCTATGACTTTACTTGACAATTTTACAGCCATACATGTTGAAAAGTTTCTCTTATAATGTGTCGTTGCCAAATGTAGATGTGCCATCTTTGTTCTCTGAGATTTTCCCAAACTTGAGTCGTGAAATCAGTTTTCCGAGCAGGCTGCACAATTGACCTCTGAGCTCCGTGAATCTTTGCACGTGTGACAGATTTTAACTTGACTCCCACATGTGAAAAATCTTTTTGGAAGCGTGACAAACTTGAACTATCAGCTACTGTGCATAAAAGACAAAGGACAGATAAAAAGACAGATAAAAGGCAACAAGGCGGCCTCCTTTGAGACACATGGTTCCCATTCCTTCCCCAGAGTGTGAGATTTTATTCTGCAGAGGATCATTGGGTTACAGACTTATTGTGTTTTTTTACATCAGGGCATCTCAGTGTGATGAAGGAACAACGTGGCCTTTAGTCTGATTCAGAAATTGGCATCACATTTGTTTTTATAGGAGATGTGGACCATGATAATGTTGTTTGTGTAGTCTCTGAGGGTTTAAGTTTCAGTGATCACCATCTCTGAACTGTAAATGAAGTCAGAAGCAGTTAACAGTCAGAGAAGTATAAAAGGTATGGCTTAATTTGTGATGATGTAATGCATTTAGGTTTTTGAGCTGTCTAAACAGGTTACTGTTACAGCATGTCCTTAACTCTTCCCCAATGGTACCTCTGTGGTCATGTGTTACATCAACGTCCTCCACAAAGAAACTCCTACCCATCAGAAATATCCTGGTTTGACTTGAAATAGACTTTTATTGAACTAGCTATTGGGTACGTGTTAAACAAACTGGGTACTTATTAGTTTTGTACAAATGGTAAATATTGCCTGTGCCCATACCCTGCGTTTTATGTTGATAGACTCTAAATAAATGAAATGTTGGACCATCTAAGTCACACATTTCTTTGCCCTGATTGGCTGTAAGCTTTGTCTACGATCACTGGAAATCAAAAAAATGATCATAGAGGTTCCATACCTTGTCATATTTGAACTAGCTACATGTGGCCAGGCTATATTTTGTCAGCAATAGATTGAAGAAGTAGATGTTGGTTCATGCGTGTTAGGAGTACAATTATGACATACTAGCACTGTCTAATGATACAATCAGTTAACACATGTCATCTCAAAATAGTCTCACCCAACAATAATTTGGAGTCTAGGGAAAAAAAGGTCAAGCACTTTTTTACACTCCTAAGTATTTCCTGACAATGTCCAAGATAGTTGCATCTCTGAACACTAGTGGTCTAATCTTTGCACCCTGACTTCATGTGGACTTCAGCCTCATGGTAAAAGACACATGGTAAAATGTCCATATGAAGTTGGGGTGGGAAGATGTGTGAATGCAGCAGGTGATAGTCAGGAAAATTCACGGTGAGTAAACACGTCAATCACATTCAGCAGAGTTCTTCTGCTTTCCATTGTGTCTGTTTTTCATGGTATGTAAGTTGGAGTTGTTACCAAAGGCAGTATTTAAAATAAAGGTGTTTCCCACAGTGAAGTAACCATGTGAAAGACAGTTCTTGAAAATATTTAGGGCATAAATCTTTTGAATTTTTGTAGAAAATGTCAGGAGTTCAGCAAGTGTGAAAGAGGTTTAAGGGCCTGCAGGACTCGGTGAACACAAGAGTTTTGTAAAGTTCAGAACTTGCAAAAAGCTCCATCTTTGACCTTAAACCGCTCAAAGAGCTGTGCCCTGATCAAGGGCAGTCACTGGTGCATTATGTAATAAAGGACAGAGAGAAGTCATTACCACCAAAACATTTCCCCAGCTGTCAAAAAAAAGTGGAAACCACCCAGTCCAAAAACCCAGTTCAATACCTTCCAAAGCTGGAGTTGTAGGCACAAACAGTGTGTCGTCCAAACACCAAATGTTGTAGTGATTGGAACAAAATAGTTGAAACTGTAATGTGGAAATGTGGGTCTGTGAGTTTTGGAAATTAGCATTAGCTGTTGTGATTTTGTGTCACTCGCCCAGTGACACAGTGCCGTAATATATTCCATCATCTTCAGAGCTCACACTGCTGCAGTCCGTCCTCTGCATTCTGGTTCATTTGGGAAAAAAAACCCCTGGCCTAATGCCGCGGTAGCCTCATGGCCAATTCACTCCTGTGTGTGTGTGTGTGTGTGTGTGAGTGAGTGTAAATGAGAAAGCTTTGGAGGTGTGTCAGACTTTATGGCTATTGCCTTCCATGAACCCTGCTGCGGCCTCCTTGTAAATGTCAACTCTATTATTAGAGGAGGGGAGGACAAAGAGAGGCTGATAGAGACGGAGGGAGAGAGGACGAGAGAAGCAGAGAAATAAAGGAAGATAGAGTTAGAAAGACAAGTGACAGACCCAGGAACAGGTTTTATGAAGCTGTCTGGCTTCAGACCCAGTTGGATCCTGCAGGAATCAGAGCGCTCAGTAATCCTAATTTCATTTCAAGACCTCCCCTCCCCTGAGCTGCCCACTCATGCCGTAACCGCAGGGCCGATGCCATTAAATGGTCCAACTGTGTGTTTATTCCCAGGCTCAGGGAGATGTAGTTTGGACTTATAGGTATCTGGATTATTTAAGACTTTTAGATGAGGTTGTTTTTTGAAAAAGCAATCAAACTGGGCTTTTCAACCGGCTTTAAATGCCGACCATCCAAAAGTTTCTCCACTTCAGCTGCACGGGGAGGCCCCTTCGCTGAACGCACAAACACGCTCAATACAGCTGCCAGTTTTCCACAGATCATCATTTGCTTTTTTGTTTGAAATCTCACTTGACTTTGACTTTTCCTTTTTTTTTTTTTTGTCTTGAATCTTAACTGGCCTTTCTTTGGCTTTCTCCCAACTCCATGGCTCGTCCAGCGTGTTCCATGCATTCAAACACATCCACATTTCTCTGCTATAGACGGATCATCTGTGATTAGAAACATCTGCATTCTTGGCATGATAAGTAAAATATAGCATTTTCTGTGTCAGCGCTTCTGATCCTAAATCAGAAGAGTTGGACGAGTGAGGAGGGGAGAGTGATGAACACAATCAGAGCAGAATCATGAAACTTAAATGACAGGATGAAAAGCGCCAGATAAGTCCTGCTCTATTTATCATGACATTCAGTGCAGCTTTATCAGTCCACATTGGACTCCTGGCGGAACTGTTCAGGAGACTAGAGATGGTCGTCTAAGCCCGTTGAGATGTACATGAGCCAGAAGCCAGACTTTTATAATCTCAGAGGCGCCTGCTGGAAAACATTTTGTCTTTGTAGTCACTTGTTTTGGCCGAAGAGGAGGACCATTACTCAAGAGACATGCTTTGTCTCCTTAGCATTAAAGTGACACTAGACCCCTGTGCATGTTGGCAAGCACCATTGGTGGCATGATGTAACGTTTGAAGATTTGACTTCCCAGAAACCTTTGTGGGCTGATCCAAAGGAGAACAGTTGAACCCTAACTCCCTAATAACACCTACGACAAGATGTACCAAGCTTTCTTTTATACCTCTCATGAGCCGGAAACTTGCCAAATCTGTATAAGAAGTTATTCATTCCTGTTGATTATTTCTCTTCAAGTCGAATTAACTCTTCATCATTTTGAATGGTGGAGCTCAACAATGGATCACTTCTATAACTTATTTGTCTTGGTTGGCATCTAGTATCCAAGTAGTCCTTAATGGTTCAGTTCTGGGTTCCATTCACAATGAGTGGGAACTTTTGAGTCCCTCTGTTTGCACGGGGGGGGGG